GTACAGTGTCTCTCTGATGGTACAGTGTCTCTCTGATGGTACAGTGTGTCTGATGGTACAGTGTGTCTGATGGTACAGTGTGTCTGATGGCACAGTGTGTCTGATGGTACAGTGTCTCTCTGATGGTACAGTGTCTCTCTGATGGTACAGTGTGTCTGATGGTACAGTGTCTCTCTGATGGTACAGTGTGTCTCTGATGGTACAGTGTGTCTGATGGTACAGTGTGTCTCTGATGGTACAGTGTGTCTGATGGTACAGTGTGTCTGATGGTACAGTGTCTCTCTGATGGTACAGTGTGTCTGATGGTACAGTGTCTCTGATGGTACAGTGTGTCTGATGGTACAGTGTGTCTGATGGTACAGTGTGTCTGATGGTACAGTGTGTCTCTGATGGTACAGTGTGTCTGATGGTACAGTGTGTCTCTGATGGTACAGTGTGTCTGATGGTACAGTGTGTCTGATGGTACAGTGTGTCTGATGGTACAGTGTCTCTCTGATGGTACAGTGTGTCTGATGGTACAGTGTGTCTGATGGTACAGTGTGTCTGATGGTACAGTGTGTCTGATGGTACAGTGTGTCGATGTACTGTCTGATGGTACAGTGTGTCTGATGGTACAGTGTGTCTGATGGTACAGTGTGTCTGATGGTACAGTGTGTCTGATGGTACAGTGTGTCTGATGTACTGTGTACGTGTGATGGTACAGTGTGTCTGATGGTACAGTGTGTCTGATGGTACAGTGTGTCTGATGGTACAGTGTGTCTGATGGTACAGTGTGTCTGATGGTACAGTGTGTCTGATGGTACAGTGTGTCTGATGGTACAGTGTGTCTGATGGTACAGTGTGTCTGATGGTACAGTGTGTCTGATGGTACAGTGTGTCTGATGGTACAGTGTGTCTGATGGTACAGTGTGTCTGATGGTACAGTGTGTCTGATGGTACAGTGTCTCTCTGATGGTACAGTGTGTCTGATGGTACAGTGTCTCTCTGATGGTACAGTGTGTCTGATGGTACAGTGTGTCTGATGGTACAGTGTGTCTGATGGTACAGTGTGTCTGATGGTACAGTGTGTCTGATGGTACAGTGTGTCTGATGGTACAGTGTGTCTGATGGTACAGTGTCTCTCTGATGGTACAGTGTGTGTTGTTGCTGGGATTTCAATAAATGTAATTTAAAGACTGTACTCCCGAACTTTTACCAACATGTGACTCGAGCTACAAGAGGAGCACATGTTCTGGATCACTGCTACAGTAACGTGAAGGGAGCTGACAGGTCCAGTCTCAGACCTCCTTTTGGAAAGTCTGACCACTCCTCTGTTCTCCTTCTTCCTTCGTATACTCAGAGGAGCAGGGAACATAAACCAACCTCTCGCACTGTGCAGTGTTGGTCTGAGGAGGCTAGCATGAAGCTACAAGGTTGTTTTGATGCTACGGACTGGTCTGTGTTTCAGTCAGAGGACGTTAATGAATTCTGTGACGCTGTGTCTGGATACATACGCTTCTGTATTGACGGCTGTGTCCCACAGAAGGTCATTAAAGAACATTTTAGTCAAAACCCTTGGATGAACGCGGAAGTGAAACTGAAACTTCATGAGCGTGCTCTGGCGTTTCAATCTAACGATACAGTTGCCTATAAGCTATCCTGTTACTCATTGAAACGTTCTATTAAATCTGCAAAGCGCAGTTACGGGGACAGGTTAAAGAGTTATTTTGAGGAAGATGACCCTCGGCGCATGTGGAACGGTATTAAAGCCATCACATCGTGGAAACCTAGTGCTGGGAAAACTGCATCTGTCGGCCAAGCTCTGCCAAACGAGCTGAACACGTTCTACTGTCGCTTTGAATCTGCCGATGCCTGTCCTACTGTATTCCCTGATTGTCTCAATCAAGGTACCTTCACCGTGACTCAGGAGGAAGTCAGGCGTGTCTTGTCCAGGACCACAGTCCGGAAAGCCCCAGGCCCGGACGGCATCCCTCCTCGTGTCCTGAAACTGTGCTCTGAGCAACTTGCTCCTGTGCTAACAGACATTTTCAACCTGTCGCTAAGGAACTGTACTGTGCCGAACTGCTTTAAAGAGTCCACCATCATTCCAGTTCCTAAGAAAACTCCTGTGACAAGCCTGAATGACTATCGTCCTGTGGCCCTCACGTCTGTTCTTATGAAAACTTTTGAGCGGCTTGTGCTGGACTTCATTAAGAGCCAGAACCCTGTGAGTGTTGACCCGCTCCAGTTTGCTACAGACAGAACAGGAGTGTGGAGGATGCATCTCCTTTGCTCTGAACTCTGTCTACAGTCACTTGGACACTAGTAAATCTGTGGCCAGAATGCTTTTCATCCATTATAGCTCTGCTTTTAACTGCCTTGTCCCAGGTTAACTGCCTTGTCCCAGGTTAACTGCCTTGTCCCAGGTTAACTGCCTTGTCCCAAGCATATTGGTTGAAAAACTAATGTCCCTTGGTCTGAATGTTGCCATGTGTAAATGGATTTTTAGCTTTTTAACTGACAGATCTCAGAGAGTGAAAATCAATGAGTGTTTTTCTGATGTTGTCTCTGTGAGCACTGGTTCTCCTCAGGGATGTATTTTGAGTCCTTTGCTTTTTACTTTGTACACTCACGATTGTGTGTCCTCCTCTGACTCAAACTTGATCATCAAATATGCTGATGACACCACCATCATCGGTCTCATCAGTGACAATGATGATTCCTCTTATAGAGCAGAGATCGAACATGTTTTTCAGTGGAGTAAAGTAAACAATCTCCAGCTGAACACTGCAAAAACATGTGAACTTGTCTTTGACTTCAGTCATAGCAGTTCTCACACTCCTGTAGTTATCGACAACTCCCAGGTGCAGATCGTAGAGGAGCAAGTTTCTGGGTTTAACTCTGTCTAACCTGAAATGGGTTAAAAACACTGACCGAGTCGTTAAGAAAGCTCGTCAGCGTCTCTACTTTCTGCGTAAACTTAGAGAATTTACCACTAACTCTAAGATTGTGCTTAACTTTTATGGCTGCACCATTGAGAGTTTACTTGTTGGTTCTGTGTCTGTGTGGTTTGGAAACATCACAGATAAAGAAAAGAGAGCTTTAAACAAGGTGCTCCGCTCTGCAAAGAGGACCGTGGGCTGTGAGCTTCCTGTTCTGGAGGTTCTTTATAAATCCACACTTTTAAACAAAGCTCTTAGGATTGTTAATGACTCTTCTGGCCACCCTGGGAAAGCCATGTTCCAGCTTCTTCCCTCTGGCAGAAGTATCGCTCTCTGAGATGCAGGACATCTCGTTACGCTAACAGTTTTTATCCACAGGCTGTTATCAGTGTGAACAGAGCACTTTAATGATTTGCACTTGTTTTGAAACTGTTTTAGTCGATCCATTTCACAGTGACATTTGTTTACTGTTTTATTTGTTTTATTTCTGTCTTTTAATGTTGTTTCATGTCTGTATTTGTCTGTGCACACTGGAGACTTTTGCTAATGTATTCCAATGTGGTTTTACTGCAAATGGCAAATAAACTGAATCTGAATCTGAATCCGGTACAGTGTCTCTCTGATGGTACAGTGTGTCCTTGATGGTACAGTGTCTCTCTGATGGCACAGTGTGTCCTTGATGGTACAGTGTCTCTCTGATGGCACAGTGTGTCCTTGATGGTACAGTGTCTCTCTGATGGCACAGTGTGTCCTTGATGGTACAGTGTGTCTCTGATGGTACAGTGTGTCTCTGATGGTACAGTGTGTCCTTGATGGTACAGTGTGTCCTTGATGGTACAGTGTGTCTCTGATGGTACAGTGTGTCCTTGATGGTACAGTGTGTCTCTGATGGTACAGTGTGTCTCTGATGGTACAGTGTGTCCTTGATGGTACAGTGTGTCTCTGATGGTACAGTGTGTCTCTGATGGTACAGTGTGTCCTTGATGGTACAGTGTGTCCTTGATGGTACAGTGTCTCTCTGATGGCACAGTGTGTCCTTGATGGTACAGTGTGTCCTTGATGGTACAGTGTGTCTCTGATGGTACAGTGTGTCCTTGATGGTACAGTGTGTCTCTGATGGTACAGTGTGTCCTTGATGGTACAGTGTGTCCTTGATGGTACAGTGTGTCCTTGATGGTACAGTGTGTCCTTGATGGTACAGTGTGTCCTTGATGGTACAGTGTGTCTCTGATGGTACAGTGTGTACATGTACACATGTGTGTGTACAACATGTAGAGACTGAGACCAGAACCAAACCCTAACATCAGGACTGAGACCAGAACCAAACCCTAACATCAGGACTGAGACCAGAACCAAACCCTAACATCAGGACTGAGACCAGAACCCAAACCCTAACATCAGGACTGAGACCAGAACCCAAACCCTAACATCAGGACTGAGACCAGAACCCAAACCCTAACCAATCAGGACTGAGACCAGAACCAAACCCTAACATCAGGACTGAGACCAGAACCAAACCCTAACATCAGGACTGAGACCAGAACCAAACCCCTAACTCACGAAGTCAAGCTCAGGCCTAAACGCAAAAATACTTTATCAATCCAGTGTATCGTCCATACGAGGCCGGCGTTTTGGGGGGGTGTAAACGAACATTTTTGAAACTAGGTCCCAGAGTGGAAAGATTTCAAAACTCCGTATATGCCGCTCCGTGGTTACTGCCTCTCCGCAATGTATCTGAGACGCTTGCGTCATCGCCCCGCCTCTTGTTAAAGCAGCATGCGCCGCACTCAGAAAATAATGACAACAAGAATGGCGCCGTACAGTGTTGCTTGTGTCCTGTTGAAGCAAGTGAGCCTACTAACGCTATTACAGCAAAATATCCTTCTTCTCCATCATCTTCGGTTACAGCAATCTATTCTTGACAACATAGTACGCTACTTTATTTTGGATTCCCCGCGGATAAGGACCCGAAGGGCATCCCGACGGAGGTTTTGGACGCGACCTGGCAGAACTAGTAGCTGGTGGGACAACTTCGTGAATGGTGTTGTCCTGGACGCTGAATGGAGGGAGAACTTTCGTATGTCCCGGGAATCTGTCGTGGCGCTCACCGAGGAGCTAAGTCCGTACATCGAAGGGCAAACGACAAATATGAGGGCACCCATTGATCCTCTAAAACGGGTCGCTCTGACGCTTTATTATTTAAGCGACAAAGGAAGCCTACGGAAGACTGCAAACGCCTTCGGTGTGTCGCGCCAGGCCGTGTCTGTCATCGTTAGGCAGATCTGCAGGACGATCTCCATCCACCTCGGTCCCAGGTACGTCCGACTGCCTTTCACGGAGCAAGACGCTACGGAGCTGGTTGTGGGGTTTCAACAGACTCATGGCATGCCCCAATGTTTAGGAGCAGTTGACGGCACCCATATTGAAATCAAACAACCGTCTGTCAACTCCACGGACTATATAAACAGAAAAGGCAAGTACACCCTGAATGTACAGGCAGTGTGCGATTACAAGTACCGATTTATGGATGTTGTCATCAAGTGGCCTGGAAGTGTGCACGACGCACGGATCTTTGCCAATTCAGAGCTGAATCTGTCACTGAAAAATGGCAAGATCCCGCCTCTTAAAAGGCGGATTGTGGATGATGAGGAGCCTATATCCATTTTCCTTCTCGGTGATCCTGCGTACCCACTGCTGCCTCATCTGATGAAGGAGTTCTCCAACGGTGGGTCGACGCCGCAAGAACAGTACTTTGGCCTGAGTTTATGTAGGGCACGGATGGTCATTGAGTGTGCATTTGGTCGTCTGAAAGCCAGATTTGCAGCACTGAGAAGGCCGATGGACATAAATTTGAATGACCTGCCCTATGTCATATACTCTTGTTTTGTTCTTCACAATTTCTGTGAGGCCAGTAAGGAGGGTGTAGATGAAGTGTCTGTGATGGGAACGATGCGAGGAGAGGTGGACTCACAGCCTCCCACACAGTGCAACAATTTCCGCACTGACTGTAATGAGGGGGAAGGAAAGAGAGTGAGAAGAGTGGTAATGAAGTACCTTGACCCTTAAGGACTGCCAGTATTGCCAATACTGTATTTAACTTTGTAAAACTTTGAAAAACATATTTGGGAAACCACTATGAGGTTATGGTTACTTCTGTTTAGTTTAGTTTAGTTTGAATGGATTAGAGTTTGGCCTGTCTTAAGTGTTAAGCGTGACGACAACATGTTTTAAGTTTTGAAGTCGTTATTTTGACAATGTTATTTATGTTCACAGCTACAAATAATTTCCAACTTGAATCAATGTTACTTTAAATTTGTGGGTGATCCGGAAAAAGTATTTAATTTGCCTTATGTATTGACAAAAATAAAAAGATTGTTATATTCAATGTTCAAACACTGTCTTTTTATTAAAGTGCAACAAAAATAGTCACAGTATAAACTCTGCAAATATCACTGGTATAACGAAGCTTGTTTTGTAACAAAATAACTGCTTAATTTAAAAAAATGTACCTGAGAACTAAACAAAGTAGTGCAAAATTCACAAAAATAAACAGATGAGCTCAATCATCTTCAGATAGTACTCGTGTGTATGAAAATGAGGGGGTATATTGCTGTAAAGTTTCGTGTGATTGTAGTGGTGGTGTTGGTGTGTATCTCCCAGAGTGGTGTGTTTCACTTGGAGTGTGAATGAAGGGTGATGCATTGTGGTGTGAGTTCTGGTGCATGTTGTATGAAGGTGGGTGTCCCTGGTATACACTGCTGCTACTGTGGGGGCGTGCATTGAGAGGCTGGACTAATAGTTCTCTCATCAGAGAAAATCCTTCCTGTATGGTATTGGTGATGTTTGCCATGTTGTTATTTATCTGTTGCATGTTGTCTGTATTGCGTCTTGACGACTCCTCCATTAGGTCCAGCATCCTCCGTTTCAGCTGCAACTCTTCCTGTCCTGTATCGGCAGGGACCTTTCTTTTCAGCCTGTCCCCTCTGTGGCTATTTAGCTTTGCCTTGAAAGACACATAGAACAATGTAATTTTATTAACAGGACAATAGCAAAGGTTTGCTTGATTATTAACGTAATGAACATCACAGGCCTCACTGAGTAATGTACATTAATTCTGTAGCAGTAAGACATGATTTGTTTTGATCACAATCTTAGTTTTCAATACAGCTATATGGAATACAAAAATAGAACAACTGCAAATGTGGAGCCAGTTATAAGCATTACAAAAGTCAAACCCTGTCATCTTACACAGTTATGTCTTACATAATTATAGTAAATAATCAGCGCATTGATGTTGTTGCCTACCTGCAGCATCTCTCTGCGCTGCCTTACGACTGGAGGAGGCAGCAGACTTTCAACAAAGTCTGACGACTGTGGCGAGTCAGTGGGCAGCTCCGAGGTCGATGAAGACGTCTCGACCAGGTCCGCCGTCTCAATGCCTTGTTCAATGGAGCGTGTTGCAGGCGATCCTCCCCAGATCTCCTCGCAGAGTTCAAAAAACATGAGCACCACACGCCCATGGCCACTCCGTCGCCCACTGTCCACTGCCTGCCTGTATTTCCCTCTGATGTTTTTAATTTTGGCGGTTAATTGGCCTTTAGTTATCGCTGTGGAGTCATGTGGGAAATCTCTGTCCGGAGAGTCGCGTGGATATTGCTCCTGAAAGGCCGACATGATGTCCGTGTATTTGGACATACATGTCTCCCAGTCTACACTTTCTTGTAGCTTGTTGGTTTTATAATCCAGTGTGACCCGAAGCAACAGTTCAACCTATTCGTCCGTCCATACTAATGAAGTACCACCTCGCCCACTCGCCATGTTGTCTGTTTACAAAATTCTGCACATGCCCAGTTCCCGTCACAGAAGTTTGGGCTTGATCCCGTCATTGCGTCACAGCGCCACCAACAGGTCTGGCATAGTTTCACAGCGTTTTCAGGCGTATTGACTACATTCATGTGGACGCACACATTTACTGAGCTAACTCCGTGTTTACAGAAAACGTTTCTGAAATTATAAGCGTTTTGTCTTCGTGTGGATATAGCCTTAGTTGTGCCAGTGATATGATTCTGAACTCTTAAGCTCAGGGTCGTGAGTTCGAACCCCACATTGTGCGAGAATCTTTGCATTTGATGCTTATTTTCCCTATCTTCATGCAATATATGATTTTATCTGTGGGGTATTCAGTGTCAAGCCAAGTTCTCACTAATAAGGCCAATGAGTATGGGCCGAAATAGCTCAGTTGGGAGAGCGTTAGACTGAAGATCTAAAGGTCCCTGGTTAGATCCCGGGTTTCGGCAGCCAGAGGGGAGGCAGGTTCATACTTCTATATTCCACAACGAATGATAAACATGGTTGAACACTCTGAGATTATGCTAAAATACCCCTGTTATGGTAACCCAAGAGTTCTAGTCAAGCTCTTGTTACCCTGTTTGGAACTGTGGTAAGTATATGTTGTAAAAGTACCACATAACTGCCACTCTTCACGCTATTGCAACTCATGGTCTTTCTCTATGAGGTCAAACGAGTACTTGAGTGTCGCTGTGGCTTAGTTGGTCAAAGCGCCTGTCTCGAAAATAGATGATGGATTTGTATCCCACCAGTGCCTTCTTAGATTGATTACAGATAATCAGTACAAGAATGATCTTGTTTTCTATTGTTACGTTCCCCTTGGCTCAAGGGGAGGCAACAAAAAGGAGGGAGAACACGGCAAAGACTTTTGATGGCTCACTGGCCGTTTTATTTAAACAATAATGTGGAATCAGTGTAAATGGTCTGGGATGTGCTGGGGTGCGTGTGTGCGGATGAGTATCAGTGTGATAACCTTATGTGTAAATGGTGCAAGTGTAAAAGTGTGGAGCGGCGTGGCTGGCGGCGTGGAGTGCAGGCCCAGACCCTGTGGACAGGTCCAGGTGTCTGCAATTGGAGAGAGAGAGAGTGCTGCCTGGGACGCCCCTCTTAAAGTCCCAGCGCAGACACTCAACCAATCCTAACCTGCACACAGAAAAGGTTAGAGTGAGGGGAGGAGTGCGCGCAATCCCATAGCTGGGCGCGTAACATCTATAAAAATCCAAGGGACCAGAAAATTGACTAGTTCTGAGTCTGATCAAACCATTGAGATATAAACAGAATTTGGGTGCACATACCGGCAGTGCTGAGATTTTACAAAAAAATCTATTGCAACTCAAGGGCCTTTATCAGGTAAAACTGATGGTTGAGAAGATACTTGAGTGGTGCTGTGGCTTAGTTGGTCAAAGCGCCTGTCTAGTAAACAGGAGATCCTGGGTTCAAATCCCAGCAGTACCTTTAAACCTTGAACACAAATAAACAGAATCATGTAACTGGCAGTCTTAATTGTGTCAGTTATAGGATTCTAAACTCTTAAGCTCAGGATTATGGGTTCAAACCCCACGTTGGAAGTGATGTGTTTTGCCCAATATTCAAGCAATACAGGCTTTATTTTATCAAGTGTGTATTTATGGTAACAATTCCAACATATACTTATGGAAGGGATTATCTCACCTATTCTTCTCCATAACAATAGTCAGGAAGGCTGAGCGGTCCAAGGCGCAAGACCCGAGATATACCACTTTCTCTACTCAAACCCTCGGTTGCCTGGGCTCCATTGGAGGTTAAGGTTCAAATCCCACTCCTGGCAAACCTTTTGGAAAAGGTGAGCAATATTGAAATGGTTTGAGATTCTTCCAAGCAACTGAAGAACAGAAAATTCACACTTGGACTTTGGCTAAAGGGTGAAGGAAAACGTTATAAATATATTCAATATTTGGAACTGTGGTAAGTGAATGTTCAAAAAGGGCCAAATAACTTCCCGTTTTCATTCAAGCAAATGCAACTCAAGGTCCTTCTATATGACGTCAAACTGGTAATTGAGAAGCTTTTTTCTTTTTTTAGTGGCACTGTGACTTAGTTGGTCAAAGCACCTGTCTCGCAAACAGGAGATCCTGGATTTGAATCCCGTGCCATTTTAAATGTAAATGGAAGCAAAAGAGACAGAAGTCAACACAATTTCCCTTCTCCAGGAAGTGTTTGGCCACTTAGTATTTTGTAGAAAGCACATGTACTATCAAGAGCAGCTTGCTCCAATGTAGAAACAATGTTCATTAGGAGAGGTTCACCTTTCAAAATAATGTTCATTTCTGAATTTGATGGTGTAAAACAGATATTTTAGCAATTGTCATCACACTGGCTGACTCATTGTCGTGGGGTATTATTTCTTAGTGAATTTCGAATACTTTGGCCGTTTTTCTCAACATTGAACCCAACGCTTCAGCAGCTGCGAATTGAGCCCAACACGTGGCAAAGGCTCACTGAGATATTTCTTACTCTGTATGAGAGGACAACTACTGATCGTAGCAATTTTTTTGTTCACTAAAGATCACTGGATGTACCAGCAATTTGGCGACCACTTCATGGTGTTTCCTGTGGCTCGTTGGTCTAGGGGTATGATTCTCGCTTTGGGTGCGAGAGGTCCCGGGTTCAAATCCCGGACGAGCCCAGTTGTTCCATGTGATAGTGTCTTTGCTGTAATTACATAGTTCTGCGTGTGATTTTCTCAACTATGTGGTCAAACCGCCTGTCTAGTAAACAGGAAATCCCACATAACTGCCACTCTTCACGCTATTGCAACTCATGGTCTTTCTCTATGAGGTCAAACGAGTACTTGAGTGTCGCTGTGGCTTAGTTGGTCAAAGCGCCTGTCTCGAAAATAGATGATGGATTTATATCCCACCAGTGCCTTCTTAGATTGATCACAGATAAACAGTACAAGAATGATCTTGTTTTCTATTGTTACGTTCCCCTTGGCTCAAGGGGAGGCAACAAAAAGGAGGGAGAACACGGCAAAGACTTTTGATGGCTCACTGGCCGTTTTATTTAAACAATAATGTGGAATCAGTGTAAATGGTCTGGGATGTGCTGGGGTGCGTGTGTGCGGATGAGTATCAGTGTGATAACCTTATGTGTAAATGGTGCAAGTGTAAAAGTGTGGAGCGGCGTGGCTGGCGGCGTGGAGTGCAGGCCCAGACCCTGTGGACAGGTCCAGGTGTCTGCAATTGGAGAGAGAGAGAGTGCTGCCTGGGACGCCCCTCTTAAAGTCCCAGCGCAGACACTCAACCAATCCTAACCTGCACACAGAAAAGGTTAGAGTGAGGGGAGGAGTGCGCGCAATCCCATAGCTGGGCGCGTAACATCTATAAAAATCCAAGGGACCAGAAAATTGACTAGTTCTGAGTCTGATCAAACCATTGAGATATAAACAGAATTTGGGTGCACATACCGGCAGTGCTGAGATTTTACAAAAAAATCTATTGCAACTCAAGGGCCTTTATCAGGTAAAACTGATGGTTGAGAAGATACTTGAGTGGTGCTGTGGCTTAGTTGGTCAAAGCGCCTGTCTAGTAAACAGGAGATCCTGGGTTCAAATCCCAGCAGTACCTTTAAACCTTGAACACAAATAAACAGAATCATGTAACTGGCAGTCTTAATTGTGTCAGTTATAGGATTCTAAACTCTTAAGCTCAGGATTATGGGTTCAAACCCCACGTTGGGTGGGAATCTTTGAAAGTGATGTGTTTTGCCCAATATTCAAGCAATACAGGCTTTATTTTATCAAGTGTGTATTTATGGTAACAATTCCAACATATACTTAGGGAAGGGATTATCTCACTTATTCTTCTCCATAACAATAGTCAGGAAGGCTGAGCGGTCCAAGGCGCAAGACCCGAGATATACCACTTTCTCTACTCAAACCCTGGGTTGCCTGGGCTCCATTGGAGGTTAAGGTTCAAATCCCACTCCTGGCAAACCTTTTGGAAAAGGTGAGCAATATTGAAATGGTTTGAGATTCTTCCAAGCAACTGAAGAACAGAAAATTCACACTTGGACTTTGGCTAAAGGGTGAAGGAAAACGTTATAAATATATTCAATATTTGGAACTGTGGTAAGTGAATGTTCAAAAAGGGCCAAATAACTTCCCGTTTTCATTCAAGCAAATGCAACTCAAGGTCCTTCTATATGACGTCAAACTGGTAATTGAGAAGCTTTTTTCTTTTTTTAGTGGCACTGTGACTTAGTTGGTCAAAGCACCTGTCTCGCAAACAGGAGATCCTGGATTTGAATCCCGTGCCATTTTAAATGTAAATGGAAGCAAAAGAGACAGAAGTCAACACAATTTCCCTTCTCCAGGAAGTGTTTGGCCACTTAGTATTTTGTAGAAAGCACATGTACTATCAAGAGCAGCTTGCTCCAATGTAGAAACAATGTTCATTAGGAGAGGTTCACCTTTCAAAATAATGTTCATTTCTGAATTTGATGGTGTAAAACAGATATTTTAGCAATTGTCATCACACTGGCTGACTCATTGTCGTGGGGTATTATTTCTTAGTGAATTTCAAATACTTTGGCCGTTTTTCTCAACATTGAACCCAACGCTTCAGCAGCTGCGAATTGAGCCCAACACGTGGCAAAGGCTCACTGAGATATTTCTTACTCTGTATGAGAGGACAACTACTGATCGTAGCAATTTTTTTGTTCACTAAAGATCACTGGATGTACCAGCAATTTGGCGACCACTTCATGGTGTTTCCTGTGGCTCGTTGGTCTAGGGGTATGATTCTCGCTTTGGGTGCGAGAGGTTCCGGGTTCAAATCCCGGATGAGCCCAGTTGTTCCATGTGATAGTGTCTTTGCTGTAATTACATAGTTCTGCGTGTGATTTTCTCAACTATGTGGTCAAACCGCCTGTCTAGTAAACAGGAAATCCCGGGTTCAAATCCCAGCAGTCCCTTTAAAGACCTTATGACGGGTTTTTTAAAAAAAAATAGTGGATATCAAAATTGCATGACAATGTCAATTTGAAAGAGATTCCGGCAAAAAAAATCCTATATTTTATAAAAAGAACGTGTTTTTCATGAATTTAAGTTGTCTATGCTCTAACCTGTGTGTGACGTCACAGCGGGTTATGCCCATGCATTGAAAACCATGGATCTATGCCACAGGACTGCCTTTTCTCTCTTCTCTCCACTGATGCCCAACACAATACTGCCCTCTACAGGTGACAATTGCTCACTACACATAAATTGCCGTTTTGAGTGTGAAAAAGTGTCCGAATACCAAATTGTAAACAACTTACAGTCACCAAGGGCTGTGAAGTTCTCATTTCTAAGGGCGTTGCTATGGGGTTATTTCGATTTGGGGGGGATCAGACAAATAAAAACAACTGATTTTGAAACCTTTAGTAGTTCTCTTCTAATATAAAATGGTATTAAAACTGTATTTCTAAATAAATCAAACCCGTCATAAGGTCTTTAAAGGACAACTCACCCTCAAATCCACTTTTTTTTTGCTGATAAACGATTTAAATGAGTGTCCAATAGTGTTGTCTACATATCCTGGTCATAGTTTTTTCACTTTGGTGCAAATTAGTTGAAAGTTAAACTTTCTGCCTAAAACCGTCTGTGAGGCGCCATCTGCTGGCGACCTGTATTTACTACATTTGAATTTTGAATCTGGCGCCAACACTGGCACAGAAGTTGGACCTGACGTCAGCAGCCCCCCGCCCAGAGCAATGTAAACGGCCCAGTCTCGTTCACGCCCCCTTTAGTCCTCCAGGCTACGCCCATTTAGAGGAAGATTTGAACAGGAAATGTGAGTGACGTAAGCTCCGAGGAGCGGGGGTGAGAACCACTTTAAACCTTCAACACAGATAAACAGAATCATAAAATTGGCAGTCTTAGTTGTGCCAGTGGAGGAGGAGGAGGTCAGAGTGTGAGGAGGAGGAGGTCAGAGTGTGAGGAGGAGGAGGTCAGAGTGTGAGGAGGAGGAGGAGGTCAGAGTGTGTGGAGGAGGAGGAGGTCAGAGTGTGTGGAGGAGGAGGAGGTCAGAGTGTGAGGAGGAGGAGGTCAGAGTGTGTGGAGGAGGAGGAGGTCAGAGTGTGTGGAGGAGGAGGAGGTCAGAGTGTGTGGAGGAGGAGGAGGAGGTCAGAGTGTGAGGAGGAGGAGGAGGTCAGAGTCTGTGGAGGAGGAGGAGGTCAGAGTGTGAGGAGGAGGAGGTCAGAGTCTGTGGAGGAGGAGGAGGTCAGAGTGTGTGGAGGAGGAGGAGGTCAGAGTGTGTGGAGGAGGAGGAGGTCAGAGTGTGTGGAGGAGGAGGAGGTCAGAGTGTGAGGAGGAGGAGGTCAGAGTGTGTGGAGGAGGAGGAGGTCAGAGTGTGTGGAGGAGGAGGAGGTCAGAGTGTGTGGAGGAGGAGGAGGAGGTCAGGGAGGAGGAGGAGGTCAGAGTGTGAGGAGGAGGAGGTCAGAGTGTGAGGAGGAGGAGGAGGTCAGAGTCTGTGGAGGAGGAGGAGGTCAGAGTGTGAGGAGGAGGAGGTCAGAGTCTGTGGAGGAGGAGGAGGTCAGAGTGTGTGGAGGAGGAGGAGGTCAGAGTGTGTGGAGGAGGAGGAGGTCAGGGAGGAGGAGGTCAGAGTGTGTGGAGGAGGAGGAGGTCAGAGTGTGTGGAGGAGGAGGAGGTCAGAGTGTGTGGAGGAGGAGGAGGAGGTCAGGGAGGAGGAGGAGGTCAGAGTGTGAGGAGGAGGAGGTCAGAGTCTGAGGAGGAGGAGGAGGTCAGAGTGTGAGGAGGAGGAGGTCAGAGTCTGTGGAGGAGGAGGAGGTCAGAGTGTGAGGAGGAGGAGGTCAGAGTCTGTGGAGGAGGAGGAGGTCAGAGTGTGAGGAGGAGGAGGAGGTCAGAGTGTGTGGAGGAGGAGGAGGTCAGAGTGTGTGGAGGAGGAGGAGGTCAGAGTGTGTGGAGGAGGAGGAGGAGGTCAGGGAGGAGGAGGAGGTCAGAGTGTGAGGAGGAGGAGGGCAGAGTGTGAGGAGGAGGAGGTCAGAGTGTGTGGAGGAGGAGGAGGTCAGAGTGTGTGGAGGAGGAGGAGGTCAGAGTGTGTGGAGGAGGAGGAGGAGGTCAGGGAGGAGGAGGAGGTCAGAGTGTGAGGAGGAGGAGGTCAGAGTGTGAGGAGGAGGAGGAGGTCAGAGTCTGTGGAGGAGGAGGAGGTCAGAGTGTGAGGAGGAGGAGGTCAGAGTCTGTGGAGGAGGAGGAGGTCAGAGTGTGAGGAGGAGGAGGAGGTCAGAGTGTGTGGAGGAGGAGGAGGTCAGAGTGTGTGGAGGAGGAGGTCAGGGAGGAGGAGGTCAGAGTGTGTGGAGGAGGAGGAGGTCAGAGTGTGTGGAGGAGGAGGAGGAGGTCAGGGAGGAGGAGGAGGTCAGAGTGTGAGGAGGAGGAGGTCAAAGTCTGGAGGAGGAGGAGGTCAGAGTGTGAGGAGGAGGAGGAGGTCAGAGTCTGTGGAGGAGGAGGAGGTCAGAGTGTGAGGAGGAGGAGGTCAGAGTCTGTGGAGGAGGAGGAGGTCAGAGTGTGAGGAGGAGGAGGAGGTCAGAGTGTGTGGAGGAGGAGGAGGTCAGAGTGTGTGGAGGAGGAGGAGGAGGTCAGAGTGTGAGGAGGAGGAGGTCAGGGAGGAGGAGGAGGTCATGTGTTGCAGCCTCTGCTCTGAGAGTCTGCGGGAGGTTTGTGGTGTAGAAATAAACAAAGTAGATTAATGTTGAATTTTTATGAATGAATTGAATTATGAATGAATTGAATTATGAATGAATTGAATTATGAATGAATTGAATTATGAATGCATTGAATTACACACACCTGTATTTAGATTTACTATTGTAGTCGTTGTTGTTTAAGGTTTCAAATAATTTCATATGAAAGAAATAGATTGAATGGATTTCTATGAAAAAATATTTGTATGATGTCCGGACCCTAATCTATTGAACTCATCAAGTAAGTGGACCTCGTGCCAATTTAATTGGGGACCCCTGGTTTATAGTGTCTGCTAATATGGCCCTAACTATTACTACTTTTTTTGATCACGTTTCACTGAGTTATGTATTTCCCATCGTTTTCCATCGCTATAGTTTCAATAAAGTTACTTTTTCTTATAGTGCGAGCACGCTGCCACTAATAGTGTGTTGGCGCGGCGCCGCCACTAGAGGGAGCCAAAAGCAAGCAAATCATTCCCAGATCTCTCACCTCGTTCTTTTCACCTGTTAGTGCCTTAAATATTTGTAAATAGTTATTTGTATAATTTTAAGCTCGCTTTTTGTTATTGTTTTATTTTCTTATATTTGTGAATATTGTAAGTACTTTTTTACTCCATCATGTAAATACTTTATCATATTATAACATTTTTGAAAATATGTCAAAACTTTTTGTCTTCAATAGACTTCAAATGACCTAGAACGCGCTCATTTCATGATTCTGACAAAACGTTTTGCCCAAAACACTAACCCTAACCTGACTGTGTGTGTGTCTGTGTGTGTCTGTGTGTGTCTGTGTGTGTGTGTGTCTGTGTGTGTGTGTCTGTGTGTGTCTGTGTGTGTGTGTCTGTGTGTGTGTGTCTGTGTGTGTGTGTCTGTGTGTCTGTGTGTGTGTCTGTGTGTCTGTGTGTGTGTGTCTGTGTGTGTGTGTCTGTGTGTGTCTGTGTGTGTCTGTGTGTGTGTGTGTGTGTGTGTGTGTCTGTGTGTCTGTGTGTGTGTGTGTCTGTGTGTGTCTGTGTGTGTGTGTCTGTGTGTGTGTGTCTGTGTGTGTGTGTCTGTGTGTCTGTGTGTGTGTCTGTGTGTCTGTGTGTGTGTGTCTGTGTGTGTGTCTGTGTGTGTGTCTGTGTGTGTGTCTGTGTGTGTGTGTGTGTGTGTCTGTGTGTGTCTGTGTGTGTCTGTGTGTGTGTGTCTGTGTGTGTGTGTCTGTGTGTGTGTGTCTGTGTGTGTGTGTCTGTGTGTGTGTGTCTGTGTGTGTCTGTGTGTGTGTGTCTGTCTGTGTGTGTCTGTGTGTGTCTGTGTGTGTGTCTGTGTGTGTGTCTGTGTGTGTGTCTGTGTGTGTGTCTGTGTGTGTGTCTGTGTGTGTGTCTGTGTCTGTGTGTGTGTCTGTGTGTGTGTGTGTGTGTGTGTGTGTCTGTGTGTGTGTGTGTCTGTGTGTGTGTGTGTGTCTGTGTGTGTGTGTGTCTGTGTGTGTGTGTGTCTGTGTGTGTGTGTGTCTGTGTGTGTGTGTGTCTGTGTGTCTCTGCCTACGCTGCACTTCCTGTGTTTGCTGAGAGCTGCTGACGAATCACTTCTGTTTGGTCAGAGCTAAAGGTACACAATGGACCAGGGTTACCACAGGGACTGAGGAGCACAGGGACTGAGGACACAGGGACTGAGGAGCACAGGGACTGAGGAGCACAGGGACTGAGGAGCACAGGGACTGAGGACACAGGGACTGAGGAGCACAGGGACTGAGGACACAGGGACTGAGGAGCACAGGGACTGAGGAGCACAGGGACTGAGGAGCACAGGGACTGAGGACACAGGGACTGAGGAGCACAGGGACTGAGGACACAGGGACTGAGGAGCACAGGGACTGAGGACACAGGGACTGGGGACACAGGGACAGAGGACACAGGGACAGAGGACACAGGGACTGAGGACACAGGGACTGAGGACACAGGGACTGAGGACACAGGGACTGGGGACACAGGGACTGAGGAGCACAGGGACTGAGGAGCACAGGGACTGAGGAGCACAGGGACTGAGGAGCACAGGGACTGAGGACACAGGGACTGGGGACACAGGGACTGGGGACACAGGGACTGGGGAGCACAGGGACTGGGGAGCACAGGGACTGGGGAGCACAGGGACAGAGGAGCACAGGGACTGAGGACACAGGGACTGAGGACACAGGGACTGAGGACACAGGGACTGGGGACACAGGGACACAGGGACTGGGGACACAGGGACTGGGGACACAGGGACTGGGGAGCACAGGGACTGGGGAGCACAGGGACTGGGGAGCACAGGGACTGGGGAGCACAGGGACTGGGGAGCACAGGGACTGAGGAGCACAGGGACTGGGGACACAGGGACTGAGGACACAGGGACTGAGGACACAGGGACTGAGGACACAGGGACTGGGGACACAGGGACTGGGGACACAGGGACTGGGGACACAGGGACTGGGGACACAGGGACTGAGGAGCACAGGGACTGAGGAGCACAGGGACTGAGGAGCACAGGGACTGAGGAGCACAGGGACTGAGGACACAGGGACTGAGGACACAGGGACTGGGGACACAGGGACTGGGGACACAGGGACTGGGGACACAGGGACAGAGGAGCACAGGGACTGGGGACACAGGGACTGGGGACACAGGGACTGGGGAGCACAGGGACTGGGGAGCACAGGGACTGGGGAGCACAGGGACTGGGGAGCACAGGGACTGAGGAGCACAGGGACTGGGGACACAGGGACTGAGGACACAGGGACTGAGGACACAGGGACTGAGGACACAGGGACTGAGGACACAGGGACTGGGGACACAAGGACTGGGGACACAGGGACTGGGGAACACAGGGACTGGGGAACACAGGGACTGAGGAGCACAGGGACTGAGGAGCACAGGGACTGAGGAGCACAGGGACTGAGGAGCACAGGGACTGGGGACACAGGGACTGGGGACACAGGGACAGAGGACACAGGGACTGGGGAGCACAGGGACTGAGGAGCACAGGGACTGGGGACACAGGGACTGAGGGACACAGGGACTGGGGACACGGGGACACAGGGACTGGGGACACAGGGACTGGGGACACAGGGACTGGGGACACAGGGACTGGGGACACAGGGACTGGGGACACAGGGACTGAGGAGCACAGGGACTGAGGAGCACAGGGACTGAGGACACAGGGACTGACGCCACAGGGACTGACGCCACAGGGACAGAGGACACAGGGACTGGGGACACAGGGACTGGGGACACAGGGACTGGGGAGCACAGGGACTGGGGAGCACAGGGACTGGGGAGCACAGGGACTGGGGACACAGGGACTGGGGACACAGGGACAGAGGACACAGGGACTGGGGAGCACAGGGACTGAGGAGCACAGGGACTGAGGAGCACAGGGACTGACGCCACAGGGACTGAGGACACAGGGACTGGGGACACAGGGACTGGGGAGCACAGGGACTGGGGAGCACAGGGACTGGGGAGCACAGGGACTGGGGAGCACAGGGACTGGGGAGCACAGGGACTGGGGAGCACAGGGACTGGGGAGCACAGGGACTGAGGAGCACAGGGACTGGGGACACAGGGACTGAGGACACAGGGACTGAGGACACAGGGACTGAGGACACAGGGACTGAGGACACAGGGACACAGGACACGGGGACACAGGGACTGGGGACACAGGGACTGGGGACACAGGGACTGAGGAGCACAGGGACTGAGGAGCACAGGGACTGAGGAGCACAGGGACTGAGGAGCACAGGGACTGAGGAGCACAGGGACTGAGGAGCACAGGGACTGAGGAGCACAGGGACTGAGGAGCACAGGGACTGAGGACACAGGGACTGAGGACACAGGGACTGGGGACACAGGGACTGGGGACACAGGGACAGAGGAGCACAGGGACTGGGGACACAGGGACTGGGGACACAGGGACTGGGGAGCACAGGGACTGAGGAGCACAGGGACTGAGGAGCACAGGGACTGGGGAGCACAGGGACTGAGGAGCACAGGGACTGAGGAGCACAGGGACTGAGGAGCACAGGGACTGAGGAGCACAGGGACTGGGGAGCACAGGGACTGAGGAGCACAGGGACTGAGGAGCACAGGGACTGGGGACACAGGGACTGGGGACACAGGGACTGAGGAGCACAGGGACTGGGGACACAGGGACTGGGGACACAGGGACTGAGGACACAGGGACTGAGGACACAGGGACTGAGGAGCACAGGGACTGAGGAGCACAGGGACTGAGGAGCACAGGGACTGGGGAGCACAGGGACTGAGGAGCACAGGGACTGAGGAGCACAGGGACTGGGGACACAGGGACTGGGGACACAGGGACTGAGGACACAGGGACTGAGGAGCACAGGGACTGAGGAGCACAGGGACTGAGGACACAGGGACTGGGGACACAGGGACTGGGGACACAGGGACTGGGGACACAGGGACTGGGGACACAGGGACAGAGGACACAGGGACTGGGGAGCACAGGGACTGAGGAGCACAGGGACTGGGGACACAGGGACTGAGGGACACAGGGACTGGGGACACAGGGACACGGGGACCTGGGGACACAGGGACTGGGGACACAGGGACTGGGGACACAGGGACTGGGGACACAGGGACTGGGGACACAGGGACTGAGGACACAGGGACTGAGGACACGGGGACTGAGGACACGGGGACACAGGGACTGGGGACACAGGGACTGGGGACACAGGGACAGAGGAGCACAGGGACTGGGGACACAGGGACTGGGGACACAGGGACAGAGGAGCACAGGGACTGAGGAGCACAGGGACTGGGGACACAGGGACTGGGGACACAGGGACTGGGGACACAGGGACTGAGGACACAGGGACTGGGGACACAGGGACTGGGGACACAGGGACAGAGGAGCACAGGGACTGGGGAGCACAGGGACTGGGGAGCACAGGGACTGGGGAGCACAGGGACTGGGGACACAGGGACTGGGGAGCACAGGGACTGGGGAGCACAGGGACTGGGGACACAGGGACTGGGGACACAGGGACTGGGGACACAGGGACAGAGGAGCACAGGGACTGGGGACACAGGGACTGGGGACACAGGGACAGAGGAGCACAGGGACTGAGGAGCACAGGGACTGGGGACACAGGGACTGGGGACACAGGGACTGGGGACACAGGGACTGAGGACACAGGGACTGGGGACACAGGGACTGGGGACACAGGGACTGGGGAGCACAGGGACTGAGGACACAGGGACTGAGGACACAGGGACAGAGGACACAGGGACTGAGGACACAGGGACTGAGGACACAGGGACTGGGGACACAGGGACTGGGGACACAGGGACTGAGGAGCACAGGGACTGAGGAGCACAGGGACTGAGGAGCACAGGGACTGAGGAGCACAGGGACTGAGGGGCACAGGGACTGAGGAGCACAGGGACTGAGGATCACAGGGACTGAGGAGCACAGGGACTGAGGAGCACAGGGACTGAGGAGCACAGGGACTGAGGAGCACAGGGACTGAGGAGCACAGGGACTGAGGAGCACAGGGACTGAGGAGCACAGGGACTGACGCCACAGGGACTGAGGACACAGGGACTGAGGACACAGGGACTGAGGACACAGGGACTGAGGACACAGGGACTGAGGACACAGGGACTGAGGACACAGGGACTGAGGACACAGGGACTGAGGAGCACAGGGACTGAGGGCACAGGGACTGAGGAGCACAGGGACTGAGGAGCACAGGGACTGGGGACACAGGGACTGAGGAGCACAGGGACAGGGGACACAGGGCCAGGGGACACAGTGACTGAGGACACAGGGACAGGGGACACAGGCACTGGGGACACAGGGACTGAGGAGCACAGGGACTGAGGAGCACAGGGACTCAGGACACAGGGACTCAGGACACAGGGACTCAGGACACAGGGACTCAGGACACAGGGACTCAGGACACAGGGACTCAGGACACAGGGACTCAGGACACAGGGACTCAGGACACATGGACTGGGGACACATGGACTGGGGACACATGGACTGGGGACACATGGACTGGGGACACATGGACTGGGGACACATGGACTGGGGACACATGGACTGGGGACACAGGGACTGGGGACACAGGGACTGGGGACACAGGGACTGGGGACACAGGGACTGAGGAGCACAGGGACAGGGGACACAGGGACAGGGGACACAGTGACTGAGGACACAGGGACAGGGGACACAGGCACTGGGGACACAGGGACTGAGGAGCACAGGGACTGGGGACGCAGGGACTGAGGAGCACAGGGACTGAGGAGCACAGGGACAGGGGACACAGGGACTGAGGACACAGGGACTGAGGACACAGGGACTCAGGGACTCAGGACACAGGGACTCAGGACACATGGACTGGGGACACATGGACTGGGGACACATGGACTGGGGACACATGGACTGGGGACACATGGACTGGGGACACATGGACTGGGGACACAGGGACTGGGGACACAGGGACTGGGGACACAGGGACTGGGGACACAGGGACTGAGGAGCACAGGGACTGACGCCACAGGGACTGACGCCACAGGGACTGACGCCACAGGGACAGAGGACACAGGGACTGGCGCCACAGGGACTGAGGACACAGGGACTGAGGACACAGGGACTGACGCCACAGGGACAGAGGACACAGGGACAGAGGACACAGGGACAGAGGACACAGGGACTGAGGACACAGGGACAGAGGACACAGGGACAGGGGACACAGGGACAGAGGACACAGGGACAGAGGACACAGGGACAGAGGACACAGGGACAGAGGACACAGGGACAGGGGACACAGGGACAGAGGACACAGGGACAGAGGACACAGGGACAGAGGACACAGGGACAGAGGACACAGGGACTGGAGACACAGGGACTGACGCCACAGGGACAGAGGACACAGGGACAGAGGACACAGGGACAGAGGACATGTCACAGTTTAATAGCAACTGTATAAAATCAAGCCCGGGCCATACAACACAACTCACAAAATAGGAAAAATGAACAGTTTTATTTTGTACCAGTTGAAGGAAAAAGATAAAAGTCAGTTATAAAATGTATCTAAAAAGAAAGGAAAGGTCCGATGCCGATAGCCATGTTAAAAAAGTTCCGTCACCTCCACCAGTCCAGGGAGCTGCGGGGAGAGGGCTAAAATTGGTGTATGCACAAATAGTTAAAAATCAGCAAGTTCTGCGATGCAGAGGCCCACGTGCAGACGTCCCCTCACTTAGCTGTTTTTCAGGCGTATCAGCCGGCTCCACTGCACGGCCCCTCTGCACGGCTCCACTGCACGGCTCCACTGCACGGCTCCACTGCACGGCCCCTCTGCACGGCTCCACTGCACGGCCCCTCTGCACGGCTCCACTGCACGGCCCCTCTGCACGGCTCCACTGCACGGCCCCTCTGCACGGCTCCACTGCACGGCCCCTCTGCACGGCTCCACTGCACGGCCCCTCTGCACGGCTCCACTGCACGGCCCCTCTGCACGGCTCCACTGCACGGCCCCACTGCACGGCCCCACTGCACGGCTCCACTGCACGGCCCCTCTGCACGGCCCCACTGCACGGCTCCACTGCACGGCCCCTCTGCACGGCTCCACTGCACGGCCCCTCTGCACGGCTCCACTGCACGGCTCCACTGCACGGCCCCTCTGCACGGCTCCACTGCACGGCCCCTCTGCACGGCTCCACTGCACGGCCCCACTGCACGGCCCCACTGCACGGCTCCACTGCACGGCCCCTCTGCACGGCCCCACTGCACGGCTCCACTGCACGGCCCCACTGCACGGCCCCTCTGCACGGCCCCTCTGCACGGCTCCACTGCACGGCCCCTCTGCACGGCTCCACTGCACGGCTCCACTGCACGGCCCCACTGCACGGCCCCTCTGCACGGCCCCTCTGCACGGCTCCACTGCACGGCTCCACTGCACGGCCCCTCTGCACGGCCCCTCTGCACGGCTCCACTGCACGGCTCCACTGCACAGCACTCTGTCAACCTTTTGTTCCCCGCTGGTGCTGGGGGGTCTGGTGTCAGTCTAATCCAGTGTCCACGGTCCACACGCGCACCGGTGACACTGACTCTGCTTCCTGGCCCTGCCTCTTAACAATCATTCCGTCACACCACACCACTGGGGAAAGTTTCTGATTGGTTAAAAATGCGGAGCAGTCCATTTGTGCAGGGGTGCACTCAAAATGTTGATAAAAACAAAACATGCACTAAACACATGCAACATGCAAAAGAAAATGTAAACAAAACATACAATGATCTAAAACCGCATCTACCCTGCACTCACATCCTGACATTCCTCCCCAGTTTTTAGGTAGTCGTCCCCGACTATCTTATCTATTCCCTGTACCTATCAGGTGGGTTACCCAAGTTGCTACGCTGTGAACGTCTCAGCACTGCTACTTCTTGGGGGGGCCCTGGTACTGGTGGGTCTGGCGCCTGTTCATTCTCAGCTACAGCTTGTTCTTGAGCCGGCTGTGGTTCTGTAAGAGGCAACATCACAGGTAAAAATAGTGGCGGGGCATTTGGTCGTTGCAGGGTCGTTGTGCGAGTGGGCTCAGTCGGCAGGTCTTCACAGATCCCTATGGGACAGGGCCTCAGGTTGTTGCGGTGCATTGTCTTTATTGGCCCGGTTTGTCCTTCAGGTCGAATCTCATACACAGGAGAGTCCGGGTCAACCTGGCCGACTATTACGAATGGTGACCGTTGCCAGCGAGGAGCCAATTTATTTTGATCATGTCTGCGAAAGTTTTTAAGCAGCACTCTATCTCCTGGAAGTAGGGGTAAATTATGTGCCGTTTTGTCATACCTCTGCTTGTCCTTTTGTTGTTGTGCCTTACTTCGGGTCAATACGTGTTTGTAGGCTTTGGTCAATGTGTGATGATGGTGGGCCACCCAGTCATGCATGTGGTAACTCTGCAAGTCAGATGGGGCTCCTGTTGCAATTTCCACTGGCAGCCGAGCATGACGTCCTTTCTCTGCTTGGTGGAGCAGTCCCCGTTGGGATCTGATGCAACACTGCACTTGTGCGGCCGAAATCATCCTCACTTGTTGCGAACACTGAGCTCCACCGCTGCAGCAGCTCCTCCACTTTGTGCAGTTGGGCTGGGTTGAGGTGCTCGACAGAGTTTAGTTGAAACGGACTGGCTGTGGCGGGTGGAGGGGTGGGAGTCGACCGGACATCCACTTCAATGGTGTTAGAGTCTGTGGGGGTCAGCACCAGATCTTGTTTGCTGCAGATCTGTTCAGAAGACAAAAGGAAGACAGAGGCAAGTACCTGTCTTGGGGGTACACTTACAGGGTAAGGATTTACATTTTGTATTCTCACAGGGACCTTACCCCCTTTAAAACTGCAGAGCGTTCTCGCCACCTGCCACTCTCCCCCCTCTGTTTCACCTTCCACGAGAACATCTCCGTGGGGAAGCTGCGTAGCTCCTAGGACGCTGGCCCACACCACCATTTCGCTTTGGGGCGGGGACTTCAACTGTGGTGTTTTTAGGCAGGCGGACCACTCCAATCTTCCCATCCGTTGCCTCATATTTGGCAACACTATTGCACACGACAAATGCTCGCTCCCAGTGGTTGTAGTCCGAAGAAGACACAGTCACTTTGAAGGCATTAATTCCTGGATGTGTTCCTTGAAAAATGGTCTCCCAACAACTAAAAATTACATTCATCCCAAGAATAGCTTTGTCTGCCCCCAAACAAGAGTCTTTCACTATGATTGCACCTTTGTCTAATACTTGAACACCAGCAACTTCAAAGTCCAGTTCAACATAACCCACATATGGTATTTGTAGTCCATTTGCTGCCTTGAGTGTCAGCCATTTTAGCGCTTGTGTATTTCTTAGGGGAACATTTTTGAACCACTTATGAAAAAATGTCTCTGAAAAAAAGAGTCACTTGAGAGCCAGTGTCCAAAATGCAGGGAATTTTAACTCCTGAAGCCACTACTTCCACTCCTGGGCATGAGCCAACTATTTTGTCTTTGAGAGTCTCTGGTGCCTTTTCCCCAGCTACCTGCCCTACGGTCGCTGGGGGTTCTAGTTTAAAGTATTTGGGGGCTGGCTTATGGTTGGACAAAGTCTCTGAATGTGACCAGCTTGTTTACACAGTGTACAAATTGGTCTGCCTTGATCGTCCCACTGAAAGTGCGTGTTATGAGCCGGGGGCCGTCTCCTAAATGCACCACGTGGTCGTGAATAAGTTGATGTGGGCAGTAACTGCTGTCTAAACTCGTCTATCAGGGTACGACTTAAGGTTGTAAGTTGCTCCTGCATTTCTTGGCGTATATCAGCCTTAAATTGTTCTTTCCAATCATAAGTGTCAGATTTGAGGGTGGGTGTTGGTGCATTTACCCTTGAAGTCCAAGCTTGCTCAGTAAAGGTGTGGTCGCCTTCAAGGGCCCGGGCTTCTTCACAGATATTATGGAAGCTCAGGTCTGTCTCCCTTCGCACCAGTCGTTGGAGCTCCTGCTGAATAGGTCCAGTCTTCAGGCCCATAATCAATTGGTCACGCGCTACGGTTTCATTTTGTGCGCTGCCATTTGGTTCCTTGTCCTTCCACCTATTAAAGAGCTCACGAAGACGTAAAATGAAACACCCTACACTTTCCTCTTGCTGTTGTTGGCACTTGAAAAATTGGGCTCTCAGCTGTGCTAACGAGACCTGTTTCCCATACAGTTTTTTTAAATGCTCTAAAATGTGCGTGGCGTTGGTCCGAAAGTTGGGTTCTAGTAATAAAACTTCTCTGCGTGGACTGCCCTCTAATGCACCAATGACAAAATCTGCTTTTTGCTGTTCACTGAGGCCATGCGCTCTAAGCATAGCTTCAATTTGCCACAACCATTCACCAAACGTTACTTGATCGCCTACACCTGAAAACTTGGGCACCCACGGCACTCCCATGAACCACGGCATAACCATTGTATTAACAGCTTGATTGTCCCCTGCATTTATGTTATTTTCCTGCATGTTTATGTTGTATGGAAAGGGCCAGCTGCTCAGCAACGCCAATTAAATGTCACAGTTTAATAGCAACTGTATAAAATCAAGCCCGGGCCATACAACACAACTCACAAAATAGGAAAAATGAACAGTTTTATTTTGTACCAGTTGAAGGAAAAAGATAAAAGTCAGTTATAAAATGTATCTAAAAAGAAAGGAAAGGTCCGATGCCGATAGCCATGTTAAAAAAGTTCCGTCACCTCCACCAGTCCAGGGAGCTGCGGGGAGAGGGCTAAAATTGGTGTATGCACAAATAGTTAAAAATCAGCAAGTTCTGCGATGCAGAGGCCCACGTGCAGACGTCCCCTCACTTAGCTGTTTTTCAGGCGTATCAGCCGGCTCCACTGCACGGCCCCTCTGCACGGCTCCACTGCACGGCTCCACTGCACGGCTCCACTGCACGGCCCCTCTGCACGGCTCCACTGCACGGCCCCTCTGCACGGCTCCACTGCACGGCTCCACTGCACGGCCCCTCTGCACGGCTCCACTGCACGGCCCCTCTGCACGGCTCCACTGCACGGCTCCACTGCACGGCTCCACTGCACGGCTCCACTGCACGGCCCCACTGCACGGCTCCACTGCACGGCCCCACTGCACGGCCCCTCTGCACGGCCCCACTGCACGGCTCCACTGCACGGCTCCTCTGCACGGCCCCTCTGCACGGCTCCACTGCACGGCTCCACTGCACGGCCCCACTGCACGGCTCCACTGCACGGCTCCACTGCACGGCTCCACTGCACGGCTCCACTGCACGGCTCCACTGCACGGCTCCACTGCACGGCTCCACTGCACGGCCCCACTGCACGGCCCCTCTGCACGGCCCCACTGCACGGCCCCTCTGCACGGCCCCTCTGCACGGCTCCACTGCACGGCCCCACTGCACGGCTCCACTGCACGGCTCCACTGCACGGCTCCACTGCACGGCCCCTCTGCACGGCTCCACTGCACGGCCCCACTGCACGGCCCCACTGCACGGCCCCTCTGCACGGCCCCTCTGCACGGCCCCACTGCACGGCTCCACTGCACGGCTCCACTGCACGGCTCCACTGCACGGCTCCACTGCACGGCCCCACTGCACGGCTCCACTGCACGGCTCCACTGCACGGCTCCACTGCACGGCTCCACTGCACGGCCCCACTGCACGGCTCCTCTGCACGCTCCACTGCACGGCCCCTCTGCACGGCTCCACTGCACGGCTCCACTGCACGGCCCCTCTGCACGGCCCCTCTGCACGGCTCCACTGCACGGCCCCACTGCACGGCCCCTCTGCACGGCCCCTCTGCACGGCTCCACTGCACGGCCCCACTGCACGGCCCCTCTGCACGGCCCCACTGCACGGCTCCACTGCACGGCTCCTCTGCACGGCCCCTCTGCACGGCTCCACTGCACGGCTCCACTGCACGGCCCCACTGCACGGCTCCACTGCACGGCTCCACTGCACGGCTCCACTGCACGGCTCCACTGCACGGCTCCACTGCACGGCTCCACTGCACGGCTCCACTGCACGGCCCCACTGCACGGCCCCTCTGCACGGCCCCACTGCACGGCCCCTCTGCACGGCCCCTCTGCACGGCTCCACTGCACGGCCCCACTGCACGGCCCCACTGCACGGCCCCTCTGCACGGCCCCTCTGCACGGCCCCACTGCACGGCTCCACTGCACGGCTCCACTGCACGGCTCCACTGCACGGCTCCACTGCACGGCCCCACTGCACGGCTCCACTGCACGGCTCCACTGCACGGCTCCACTGCACGGCTCCACTGCACGGCTCCACTGCACGGCTCCACTGCACGGCCCCTCTGCACGGCTCCACTGCACGGCCCACTGCACGGCTCCACTGCACGGCTCCACTGCACGGCTCCTCTGCACGGCCCTCTGCACGGCCCCTGCACGGCTCCACTGCACGGCCCCCTCCTCCACTGCACGGCTCCACTGCACGGCCCCTCTGCACGGCTCCACTGCACGGCCCCTCTGCACGGCTCCACTGCACGGCTCCACTGCACGGCCCCTCTGCACGGCTCCACTGCACGGCCCCTCTGCACGGCTCCACTGCACGGCCCACTGCACGGCCCCACTGCACGGCTCCACTGCACGGCCCCTCGCACGCCCCACTGCACGGCCCACTGCACGGCCCCACTGCACGGCCCCCTGCACGGCCCCACTGCACGGCTCCACTGCACGGCCCCTCTGCACGGCCCCACTGCACGGCTCCACTGCACGGCCCCACTGCACGGCCCCTCTGCACGGCCCCTCTGCACGGCTCCACTGCACGGCTCCACTGCACGGCCCCTCTGCACGGCCCCACTGCACGGCCCACTGCACGGCCCCTCTGCCACGGCCCCTCTGCACGGCCCACTGCACGGCTCCACTGCACGGCTCCACTGCACGGCCCACTGCACGGCCCCACTGCACGGCCCCTCTGCACGGCCCCTCTGCACGGCTCCACTGCACGGCTCCACTGCACGGCCCCTCTGCACGGCCCCTCTGCACGGCTCCACTGCACGGCTCCACTGCACAGCACTCTGTCAACCTTTTGTTCCCCGCTGGTGCTGGGGGGTCTGGTGTCAGTCTAATCCAGTGTCCACGGTCCACACGCGCACCGGTGACACTGACTCTGCTTCCTGGCCCTGCCTCTTAACAATCATTCCGTCACACCACACCACTGGGGAAAGTTTCTGATTGGTTAAAAATGCGGAGCAGTCCATTTGTGCAGGGGTGCACTCAAAATGTTGATAAAAACAAAACATGCACTAAACACATGCAACATGCAAAAGAAAATGTAAACAAAACATACAATGATCTAAAACCGCATCTACCCTGCACTCACATCCTGACAGACACAGGGACTGAGGACACAGGGACTGAGGACACAGGGACTGACGCCACAGGGACTGAGGACACAGGGACTGAGGACACAGGGACTGACGCCACAGGGACTGAGGACACAGGGACAGAGGACACAGGGACTGACGCCACAGGGACTGAGGACACAGGGACAGAGGACACAGGGACTGACGCCACAGGGACAGAGGACACAGGGACAGAGGACACAGGGACTGGGGACACAGGGACTGACGCCACAGGGACTGAGGACACAGGGACTGACGCCACAGGGACTGAGGACACAGGGACAGAGGACACAGGGACTGACGCCACAGGGACTGAGGACACAGGGACAGAGGACACAGGGACTGACGCCACAGGGACTGAGGACACAGGGACTGAGGACACAGGGACTGACGCCACAGGGACTGAGGACACAGGGACAGAGGACACAGGGACTGACGCCACAGGGACTGAGGACACAGGGACAGAGGACACAGGGACTGACGCCACAGGGACTGAGGACACAGGGACAGAGGACACAGGGACAGAGGACACAGGGACTGACGCCACAGGGACAGAGGACACAGGGACTGACGCCACAGGGACTGAGGACACAGGGACAGAGGACACAGGGACAGAGGACACAGGGACAGAGGACACAGGGACAGAGGGCACAGGGACTGACGCCACAGGGACTGGGGACACAGGGACTCTGAGTCTGTGCTGCCCGGGGCCCAGCACACGGCAGCGTAGTAAATGGCAGAAGCTACCACAGAGTCATAAAAAGTCCTAAGCAGAGGCCTGCTCACTCCGAAGGACCTCAGTCTCCTCAGAAGGACCTCAGCCTCCTCTGAAGGACCTCAGTCTCCTCAGAAGGACCTCAGCCTCCTCAGAAGGACCTCAGTCTCCTCAGAAGGACCTCAGCCTCCTCTGAAGGACCTCAGCCTCCTCAGAAGGACCTCAGTCTCCTCAGAAGGACCTCAGCCTCCTCAGAAGGACCTCAGCCTCCTCTGAAGGACCTCAGCCTCCTCAGAAGGACCTCAGTCTCCTCAGAAGGACCTCAGCCTCCTCAGAAGGACCTCAGCCTCCTCTGAAGGACCTCAGCCTCCTCAGAAGGACCTCAGTCTCCTCAGAAGGACTTCAGCCTCCTCAGAAGGACCTCAGCCTCCTCTGAAGGACCTCAGCCTCCTCAGAAGGACCTCATCCTCCTCAGAAGGACCTCATCCTCCTCAGAAGGACCTCAGTCTCCTCAGAAGGACCTCAGCCTCCTCAGAAGGACCTCATCCTCCTCAGAAGGACCTCATCCTCCTCAGAAGGACCTGTCTCCTCAGAAGGACCTCAGCCTCCTCAGAAGGACCTCAGCCTCCTCAGAAGGACCTCAGCCTCCTCAGAAGGACCTCAGCCTCCTCAGAAGGAGCTCAGCCTCCTCAGAAGGACCTCAGCCTCCTCAGAAGGACCTCAGCCTCCTCAGAAGGACCTCAGCCTCCTCAGAAGGACCTCAGCCTCCTCAGAAGGACCTCAGTCTCCTCAGAAGGACCTCAGCCTCCTCAGAAGGACCTCAGCCTCCTCAGAAGGACCTCAGCCTCCTCAGAAGGACCTCAGTCTCCTCAGAAGGACCTCAGCCTCCTCAGAAGGACCTCAGCCTCCTCAGAAGGACCTCAGTCTCCTCAGAAGGACCTCAGCCTCCTCAGAAGGACCTCAGCCTCCTCAGAAGGACCTCAGCCTCCTCAGAAGGACCTCAGCCTCCTCAGAAGGACCTCAGCCTCCTCAGAAGGACCTCAGCCTCCTCAGGACCTCAGCCTCCTCAGAAGGACCTCAGCCTCCTCAGAAGGAAGAGGCGACTTTGGCCCTTCTTGTGCAGGGCGTTTGTATTATGGACCAGTCCAGTTTATTGTTAATGTGAACACCCAGGTACTTGAAGCTGTCCACCAGCTCAATGTCCTCCCCCTGGATGTTCAGCAGCGTGTGGGAAAGTGGTTTTCTCCTGAAGTCGATGATCATCTCCTTGGTCTTACTGGTGTTCAAGCACAAGTGGTTGCGCTCACACCAGTCGACAAAGTCCTTGATAACCGACCGATATTCCAGTTGGTTCCCCTCAGACACACAGCCCACGATGGCGGAGTCGTCGGAGAACTTCTGCAGGTGACAGCTGTGTGTGTCGTGTGTGAAGTCTGAGGTGTAGATGGTGAAGAGAAACGGTGAGAGGACAGTGCCCTGAGGGGCCCCAGTGCTGCAGACGACCACCTCAGACTCACAGCTGCAGCCGCACGTACTGTGGTCGCTCTGAGAGGAAGTTGATGGTCCATGCAGTGAGGTAGTTGATGGTCCATGCAGTGAGGTAGTTGATGGTCCATGCAGTGAGGTAGTTGATGGTCCATGCAGTGAGGCAGTTGATGGTCCATGCAGTGAGGTAGTTGATGGTCCATGCAGTGAGGCAGTTGATGGTCCATGCAGTGAGGCAGTTGATGGTCCATGCAGTGAGGCAGTCGATGGTCCATGCAGTGAGGCAGTTGATGGTCCATGCAGTGAGGTAGTCCATGGTCCATGCAGTGAGGTAGTTGATGGTCCATGCAGTGAGGTAGTTGATGGTCCTGCATAGGGACGCCGAGGTTAACCGGTTTTACGGTTATAAAAGCCCACGGTAGGTTAACCTTAAGGATTTTAAATGGCACGGTTTACCGCTGGTACGGAAAACTCTCGCGCGAAGTGCAGTACGGGACCGCTGCACACGGAGCAGAGTAGACTCACCGCTGAATTGGAGATGGCAGGACAAGCTCCCACAGAGTTGTATCCACCAAAAAAACGACTGAAGTCAGCAGTGTGGGATCACTTTGGGTATCCAAAAGATGAGCAAGATTCTGTTTTGGCTGATGGTTTTCCAACGTGCAAATCCTGTCGTCGGAAAGTGGCAGCGACACTTCAAATCTGATTCAACATCTTCGAGAGAATCATCCTTTGCTGTATGTCCAAGTCAAGGTAATAAAACTGCATCATTGTCAAATTAAAGTTGTCCAAATGTCTCAGGATGCACATTCATGCAATTCTCTCTCTGCTTCTGCATATCTAAAGTGAAAGTACTAGCGCCGGTGCGCTAGGAGAAGCTCTTAAAGTGACAGTAGCACGTGTCCTTAGTCAACAAAATAAATGCAGAAATAGCACCTAGACTAGCTATGATGATGGCTACTACTACAAAAACAATTAGGTATATAAATTCCTGCATTTATTTTCTTATATGAAAATTGTTATACTTTGAAAAATAAAATATATATATATAATGTTCAGCTATTTACATATATGTATATTTTAAATGTAATACAAAAAAATCATGTAAAATATTATATGATAATCTTAATTTATCCATTTAATTGTTTTCCAGAAAAAAACTCCCAGCCTGAATGGACCACCTGCAGCTACTGTTTAATCTACAGTTGAAAAGTCATTCTCAAAAAGCATTAAATATGCACCTTCTTCAAAACAAGCAAAAGATCTCAATCAAGCCGTGGCATATTATATAGCCAAGGACATGTTGCCAATCTACTCTGTAGAAAAACCTGGATTTCTATCTTTGATGAAAAAGGCTGTTCCACAATATAAGGTACCAGGGCGAACCCACTTCACAACAACTGAAATACCCAAATTATATTTGGAAGTGAAGGAAAGCGTAGAGGAGCAAATGAAAGAAGCTGAATGGTTTGGGCAGTTTGGACAAGCAGTGGAGGAGGTGGAGAACCCTACATCAGCTTCACCAGTCATTATGTGAGTTCTGATTGGAAACTTAAAGCCCACTGTCTAGAGACACTGTACTTCCCTGATGATCACACTGCAGACAACATAACAGAAACAGTGGAAAACATACTTCAAGAGTGGGAGATAATCTATCTGGCATCACCACAGACAACGCCACCAACATGAAAAAGGCTTTCGCAAATTTTGCTTGTATGTGGTTTTCTTGTTTTGGGCACAACCTAAATCTTGCTATCAGCAAGGTGCTCAAAATCCAAAGAGTTGAAAAAGCCATAAGAGCATGCCGTCACTTAGTGGAAAAAAAAGAGAGAACTAAAGAAGAAACAAGAGGAGCTTAACATCCCAGCACATGCCCTGATAAATGATGTGGTTACAAGGTGGGGATCCACATTTGAGATGATCTCCAGATTCTTGGAGCAGCAGCAGACAGTCTGTGCTGTTTTGGCAGGGGACAGAAGCTTATGGCATTTAATGCCAAAAGATACAGATATCACCGTCATGGAGGAGGCACACCAGTTTCTGAAGCCACTAAACATATTGACAGATGTAACGGCATCAGAGAAGCAAGTTACACTATCTTCTTTAAGCCGTGCTCGTACACATAAATGGGCACATTTTAAGTCCAAAGGAAGAAGACAGTGCACTTACTGAAGCGATGAAGAGTGCAGTAGGAAATGACCTACTTCAGATGAGATATACAGAAGAGATGAAAATGGTCCTGGAGATTGCATGTTTTCTTGATCCAAGGTTTAATTCAGATTCAGATTCATTTATTGGCCATGTGCAGTATAAAAACTACATTGGAATACATTTGCAAAAAAGGTACTCTGTGTGCACCGACAGAATAAAAAGCACGATACAATGTAATATAAAATACACATACACTGAATATAAAATAATAAAAATAAAAAATAAAAAAACAGCTGACACTGTGGCACCGATCAACAAAACGATACAAGGGGTAAAAGCAGGAATTAAAGTGCTCTGTTTAGGCACCTAACAGCCTGTGGAAAGAAGCTGTTAGCATAGCCAGATGTCTTGCATCTCAGCGACTGATATCTTCTGCCAGAGGGAAGAAGCTGGAACATGGCTTTCCCAGGGTGGCCAGAAGAGTCATTGATGATTTTAAGAGCTTTGTTTAAAAGTCTGGATCTGTAAAGAGCCTCCAGAACAGGAAGCTCACAGCCCACGGTCCTCTTTGCAGAGCGGAGCACCTTGTTTAAAGCTCTCTTTTCTTTATCTGTGATGTTTCCAAACCACACAGACACAGAACCAACAAGTAAACTCTCAATGGTGCAGCCATAAAAGTTAAGCACAATCTTAGAGTTAGTGGTAAATTCTCTAAGTTTCCGCAAAAAGAAGAGCCGCTGACGAGCTTTCTTAACAACCCGGTCAGTGTTTTTAACCCATTTCAGGTTAGACAGAGTTAAACCCAGAAACTTGCTCCTCTACGATCTGCACCTGGGAGTTGTCGATAACTACAGGAGTGTGAGAACTGCTATGACTGAAGTCAAAGACAAGTTCACATGTTTTTGCAGTGTTCAGCTGGAGATTGTTTACTTTACTCCACTGAAAAACATGTTCGATCTCTGCTCTATAAGAGGAATCATCATTGTCACTGATGAGACCGATGATGGTGGTGTCATCAGCATATTTGATGATCAAGTTTGAGTCAGAGGAGGACACACAATCGTGAGTGTACAAAGTAAAAAGCAGAGGACTCAAAATACATCCCTGAGGAGAACCAGTGCTCACAGAGACAACATCAGAAAAACACTCTCTGAGATCTGTCAGTTAAAAAGCTAAAAATCCATTTACACATGGCAACATTCAGACCAAGGGACATTAGTTTTTCAACCAATATGCTTGGGACAAGGCAGTTAAAAGCAGAGCTATAATCGATGAAAAGCATTCTGGCCACAGATTTACTAGTGTCCAAGTGACTGTAGACAGAGTTCAGAGCAAAGGAGATGCATCCTCCACACTCCTGTTCTGTCTGTAGCAAACTGGAGCGGGTCAACACTCACAGGGATCTGGCTCTTAATGAAGTCCAGCACAAGCCGCTCAAAAGTCTTCATAAGAACAGACGTGAGGGCCACAGGACGATAGTCATTGAGACATGTCACAGGAGACTTCTTAGGAACTGGAATAATGGTGGACCTTTTAAAGCTCACCGGCACCGTACAGCTCCTGAGTGACAAGTTAAAGATGTCCGTTAAAACAGGGGCAAGTTACTCGGAGCACAGTTTCAGGACGCGGGGAGGAATGCAGTCCGGGCCTGCGGCTTTCCGAGCTGTGGTCCTGGACAAGACCCGCCGTACTTCCTCCTGAGTCACTGTGAAGGCACCCTGACATTCGGGGAAGACAAAAGGCAGGGGATCAGCAGATTCAAAGCGGCAGTAAAAGTCGTTGAGCTCGTTTGGCAGAGTTTGGCCAGCAGCAATTTTCCCTGCACTTGGT